AATGAAGTGGAGGGACCTCTGAACTGGAGGTGTATGGATTTACTTACAGTTAGCAGAATTTGTTTCCAAGTCCTAGGGAAATTCATATCTCTGAATTTAATTATTTTTTGACCAGAAGGTGTCAAAATCTTTTATTTTTTCATCTTAAGTGAGTGATACTTTACTGGCACTCAGAAAACATCAGTAATCTCATAAACAACAACAAGTTACGTTTGTATAGGCCCCTTCATCTGGGATAGTGTCTCGCAGTGCTTAACAGTTTGGAGTGGCGCTGAGCCAGAAGGAGGGTGGAGGTGACCGTAAGCATGGTTGAAGAGGAAGGTCTTCAGGTGTGATCTGAAAATGCGGAACGAGGTGGGAAGCGGAAGGATTGAGGGAGAGTTTTCCAAAGATTTGGGGTGTAACTGGCTGAAAGCATGGCCGCTGCTGGTGGAGCGGAGGAGATGAGGGACCAGCAGAAGGCTGGAGCCAGCCGGGCGGCTGTGTGGAGTGGGAGTAATAAAATGTGGGTCATGATCCTTTATTCAACCAAGGAATGCCGAAACAATAAATATTAAAACAAATGAACATCATGAAAAAATTACTTCCGTTCAACACATAACAAGAGTAAAAATATGACCCTTTCCTGCAGATTTTTAAACCTTTGAAAATCCTGTGATCTATAGGTTGGCTCAAGAAGTTCCATTGGAAAAATGCAGACATGGCAGTAGTATTTAGTGTTTCCTCTTACAGGGAAACAATCAGTTGACTTCCTTTCTGCCTGCGTCAAGACTTCCTGTCCCACAATTTACCTCTTCCTTGCCATTAGAAGCATTAGTGTAAGTGTAAGCAACATACATCCTTCACATTACAATTTTCCTTCATGGCATGTAAACTAGGTCAGTGTCAAAAGGTCAGAGGCTCATGGGAATACCAAAGTTCTTCAGGAAAACCCTGGTTGCACCATGCTTATTTAAAGGAAAGATAAATTAATAAATCAATTCATGGACTCTGGACTGCACTCGAGCAGGGTCAGAGTGACACAAAGCAAATACAAAAATAGGCAACTAGTGTGCGATTGAACAGGAATCAAGTATGTCTCACCAGAAGGTGAAGAGTTTGAGGGCTGCCATCAATCAGATCGGCCTGTCTTAATTCTTGTGTTTCATCAGTTGCTATTGGGTTCTTTATATGCAAAGTGCAAGGAAAGCTTTAAGAATTACTACTAATAAAATAATAACTACTAATTCCTTGCATTTAATCCTTGCATTTGATGAAGGGGCTTATCAGATTGTCGAAACATCTCAAAATGCTTTAGAGGATTTTACTGAAAAGAAAAAGACATTACTGTGTACTTGTAGGTGAAATAACCGCTTATCTGTTGCGGATATCTGTTAGGTTATCTGTTAGGTTAACCCTAACCCTAACTTGTACCCGTTCCTGCATCATCAACAACAACAACTAGCATTTATATAGTGCCCTTCACATTTCTCAGCATGCTTGTAGGTGTATGAAATAGGTTTCCTATTTCTCCAAAGCCAGCTTCTCTCGATCAGCTGACTACTTGCCAGTTTGTCTTAAAAAAAACACAGGTCATTTTTATATGGTCATTTTTATGGAATGGGCCGCAAGCAATGGTTGCAAGCCTCCGTTTGGAGTTTATTTTGGAGTTCTGATTTGGGATTTCCTACACTTGACATTAATTACTTGATTTGAGGGACTTTGAGATTGTTTGATTTTTTTTACTCTCTGTCCACATTCTTCTTCCTGCACATATACATACATAGGTGCACACACACTCACAGACAAATGCTGACCACATTATAATAAGAGTGATATAAATCCATAAGCACATTCACAGACATGTACAAGCTAAGGCACTGACCACAGTATCAATCATTTTAATCCATAAAAGTTTTAAGAATGTCTATGTAAACACTTCCGAACAGTAATATTTTCGTAGAACTATTTTATTGCAATCTGCTGAATGTATAAGCACAATATGTTTGTTCATGTGTGGGAAGAAATGACATTATTTTGTAAAGTGGGCTCTTTTATTATTGATGATGTATTGCTAAATAAGAGATTGGTTAAAAATTGCAATGTTTCTTAACTGATTTGATATAACAATTATCAATTAAACACTGGAGGAATAATATGAGGTGGTAAATATCACCAATGATATTATCACTTGATCAAAAATGCAGGTAAAAAAAGAAACAATAGTTATTAACTTCCCCTCCTCCTATCCAATGATCTATTGTCCACAGGAGCTTTTTCATTAAAATGACCTTGGAGTACCTTGGTCAAAAAAAAGTAGTTCTTGAAAACTAGCATAAATTAACTTTCTTCTGTTTGTCTCGTGGATATTACCAGCAAGCCACCCAGTAATTGTTTTCCAATCTGCTAGCGTCCAGGTATGGAAACCTGACAGGCCTGTCTTCGGAAGCAGTGGGTACACAGACACCATTGAAAGCAGTGGTGCGATTAAGTGAAGCCAAGAATTGTTACTGAATGTCTTCTTTCATGACTCTTCTGTCATTGCTTCTATATGGCTTTATTCACATCTATTGATGATTTATTAAAGTTGGCAGGGTGATGTTTCTCAACAAACAAGTACTGTTTGATGTCATAAGTTTTTTTTAAGTAAACAAATCACCGAGTGATAAGCCTTCAATGTACCAGGGTAGTTGGTTGTACATAAACAAGGATTAATTCTCTGACAGCTGGGCTTTAACAGTGTTTGAGTTGACATATGATCTGAACAGCTCTGTAGATTCTTTTCAGTGTAATTGGCATCATAAATGATACTCCCATCAGACCATGTCAGGGCTTCATTTAATTTATCTATGAAAGCTCATTCTGTCATACAAAAAATCCTAAACAACGCAGTGAGTGCTCCTGTGATAAACTTAGCTGATTTATTTCTGTGATACTTCCATATTTGACCACGGCATAATACATTACTGAGTAACATTAAGACTGTGGTCTTAAGAGGAAATGACTTTATCCTTCTTCTTTGTTTTCTAAAATGAAACAATTGTCAACGTTGCCACTTGTAGTACTTGAACAGGAAGCATGTTGACACCTGTGAGAGTAGCAAGAATCTAGAGATTCAGTCATATTCAATTCCTTCTGATTAGATCAGCAGTTTTCAAACATATTTGTGTGGCACCCCCTTTTGGAGCTTAATGTCCAAGTGTACCAACATCTTTCTAGAACATATCATATTCACACTCTTATCAGGAGGTATAGGCTCTTGTCCCCGGACTGGTTAGCGACTGATATTTCAATCAGAGAGAACAGATCAAATTATTCTTTCCCTCTTCTCTCTATCTCTTTCTCTCTGAGGCCCGGCCTCTCCTCACACTCGGTTTCTCTATACACACCCCACCAACATGGGCAAAATGCCAGTAAGATAAGAAAAAATAATATGATAATACTATTAACCTTTACATTTGATATAATGCCTTTCACGTCGGGAAAACGTCTGAAAATGCTTTACAAGAAATCTTGTACATGGAGTATATTCTTGGTGCTGATATGCACCAAGAATGTTCCACAAACAAGAGTGAGATGAGTACTCAATTATATGCGAGTTTAGCAAATAATAAGCAGCAAATGTGTAAAGACTCAGCAAATGGAAAAAATGGCCAAAATAAAATAAGTAGACAATTAAAAACAAACAAACTTAATATCAAAAATGTAAAGACAATTTACATAATATGTACCTTGTTCATTAATAAATACTTTTAGAAATTTATAAAATTAATCTGAAATATGTTAAGGTCCATGTATCTCTATTGGTTGAACAATGGATTCAGTCCCTGACATTTTGGAGCTTGAATCACAATGCGACCCCTCAACCCTTTCAAGTTCGGAAAAGCTTAACATAGTTTGTGGAGTCAGACATGTCAAAGAAAAATCGAAGGCAATGTTGATGGTTAACCAGCTTATCTAGCACAACATTGAGATGTGGATGTGTTTATATGCTCTTAACCCTGTGAATCATATAAAAACAGGGAAATGGGATCAGAGTGGCACAGATGAGATAGGCCACCAAATGGCTTTCTGAGATGAAATTTCTTTGCTTCTCTGCATTTTAAAAAAAGTGAAGTCTACTGTAATAGCTATCTTAGGGGACAATTGTGAAATGAAAAATTATCACATCAAATCTGTTATGAAGGATTTCATTTTGCATCCCAGCATTTCTGGTGGTGCAGAATATTTACTCAAATATTAGGTTAGAGGAAAAATCTCCCACTTCCTGATATTGAATTTGAAGTCCGATGAACATCTGTATAATGTCTTGAAGCACATGACCTAATTTTTTCTGTGCTGGAAATAAAAAACAGTGGACGCAACAGCTGGGAATTACATTGATACATTAGGCAGTAAATTAGCTCTAATCCAAGTTGAATGTTAGCCTATAGTGGACCATATTACAGAGTATGGTGTGCATATTTATTTGGATGCTGATAATTTATCAGGATTTAACTCGTGTTTGCATTGAAGTAAAAGGATTCCTAAATTGGAGATATCTGATCAAAATGAACATATTCCTTTGATGACTGACCAAATCCATGTAGAGAGGCATTTAAATGACCTTTAAAGCAATCAATAGCTTGTGAAACCGATTGAATTAGGAATACATTCAGCATTCTTACGATCAAATAGCTTCTCAATGAATATATTATGACTTTTATGAGTCTACAGAGTCAGGACATAGTATTATTCAGACAATTGTTCAGACATTTGTATTTGTATCAGTAATTGTTTACCCTGAAACTGAACCTGTCCTGAAGAAAAAACAATGGAATCTTGCAATCACTATAATTGATTAGACACTGATGCATTAAATCCAAGAATAAAATGTGTATTTTGCTTTTTGCCATAAGAAGGTGAAAGTAGCATTTTCTGCAATCTCTGGATGATGGAGATAAGCAAAGGTCTTATCTACATGAAAATAGCTGACTGATCTGATTATTGTCCTTACCCAAGGTTTTCAATTTTTCTTGCAGCTCTATTGAAAGAACATATGCTGAACGCCAGGCAGTTTGTAGATTACTGAAGATATTCCCAGACATTGTTTTGCAGCTTTCAGACGAGGAGTTGAAATCAATAAGTTCAACTGTGAGCCTGGAAATATGGGAGAAAGGATTCGTAGGTATTTTCTTTTGCATTTTGCTTTTGAAATTTGCAATTTCTAATAGTTTTAGGATCTATGACAATTATTATGGTTTTGCCTTTTGGGACATCCTGCCAACATGAATGTAAATTTTTATTGTTATTTTATTCCACGTTCTTACTCCATAGTCCCAAGATCCATAGGATAGTGGTGGAAATACTGGGCATCCTGTTTACTCCTCATGCCGTCATTAATAAAAGTTGCAGAGATAACAAATGGGCTCCCCTCACCCAATATTATTTTTCTTGTGTGATTGCGATGAAGAAAAGAATAATTGCAATGTAATGTAGCTGTCACACTACCAGTAAAGTGCTCCAGATCTTCACAGCTCTGAGGCCTATGAAGAATAACAAGTCTTGTAGCGGCAGAAGTGTAATGTGTACCTTTCTGTTTCTGCTCCTCAGCCAGGGCAAAAAGTGGGGAGGAATTAAACTTAGTATGTTTGGGCTGCGGCCATCACATCACATTTCTAGATCCATAGAGTGGAAGGAAAAATTAATACAATAGCACCCAAATGTGCTGATATTGCAGGGTTGGAATGCTAACGTCAATTTTCAAACTAAATTTGCTTAACGTTCACAGTGTAGCACTCATTTAAGACCAAAGGAGATAGCATGCTTAACATGCTAAGAGTAATGCTGATCATGGAGAAAGTTGGATGTGAGGGTATGGGATAGATTGACTGCCTCTTTTTATTTACATTTACACAACCCAGCTGTACCTCTGTCATCAATCAATCTGTCACCCTATAATCCAAGGGTTCAAAAGCCTAAAACGTTTTCCGAATCTCTGAACTGCAACATACACACAGAATTAGATAGAGCTAAATACAATACGATGGATACAGTTATGCTGTTAGTAGGTATTGCCTGGACAGAATTTTTCAAATAATAATAAGAATCCTTGCATTTGATTATCACGTCTTTGAGACGTCTCAATATCAGTTTTTCAGATCTATTCCAATAATTGTAGAAGGAATCAGTAAACTAGAAATAAACACATTCAAATCTGATTCTGCATTTGTTTTGGTTTTATTCAAAAAAAATGTCAAGCTAATTGTTATTAGTCTCCACTGCATTATATAGTCAATTGGGCGGATTTTTAAACGGTCTCCTTCAACAGGGCGGAGATGGCAGCATTGGAGGCAATTAACCCGAATGTCAAACCACTCGACACCACTACATATTGGTGTTCAATCCACCTCATGGAAGTGACTCCATACTTAAATCTGAATTTTAATATGATTTCAAGGTGTTTTTGTTCTATTTGCAACAATGGCAGGTAGTTTGGTGCTCTGGATTACTGAAGATAAATCTGGGATGTTTCTGGGGGCACGTTGACAATCGGTTTTCCAGAAGTATGACATTTGCTGTAGTTTAAAGCTATGTTGCCTCACATTTGTCTTAAAACATATTATTCTTAGGTAAAAGAGCTCAGCAGCAGACAATCAGTTTAAAACATTTGATGTTCTTGATAAGATCCTGAAAATAGTAATATTTTCCACAAAATAAGCCAATTGTGTGTGTGTGTGTGGCTTTGTATATGCCTCTGTGTGTGCTTTCTCTTCTGTACGATGCTGCTAATCTGTGCATTTTATCCCTGGGTTCTACAATTACAGTACAGTAATTGTGGGTTCTGATGCTGCAGAGAAAATATTATTTTAAAAAGTTAGCTTCTTAATGTTGAGAAAAACCTGGGGTGAAAATTAGGCCTTGTGATATGTCAATACCATCTTTATCAACAGATAATCAGAGTAAAGACAGGATCCCAACCAATGGCACTTTCATGCTTGGTTGGCGGCATGGATTGCCTCTGGGATGAATCATCCTGATCGAATTGGGAGGATATGGGGTTGGAAAATGTTACACTCCTAGCCAGTCTTAGTTCCCAGTTGACCTCACTGACAGAATTAGTCAACCATGTGTTAATTGCAGTTTTCACCCCATCATTGTAAACTCGGCAACTTTAAAGAGGAAAATAGTAAATATCCTCCATAGTGAGAGATGAAAATACATAAATTAATAACAGGCTCTCCTAGATTATTTCCTATTATATTGTGCTTAACAATTGTAATTGATAAACATTTGAACAAAGTGTTATATTGAGAAAATATTGTGGGTTATTGAAAACCATATAAAGTATATTGAAGTGAAATATGTTGCTTCTTAACAGATTCCATGTGATTTATCACATGGCATTTGTTATGAAATGCTGCATTTTTCACCCCTTTGAGTGAAATTGCATTGATCATATATATCTTAGATCGAGCTTGTAAATCAGTTTATCTTTCTGTGTAATATTGTTGAGCTATATTATAAAGTTCAGTAACATGGTGAAATCATTTCTACAAACCTGTTGAATTGTGTTTTCTGCAGTGTTTGGTAACCAAGGCCTCCATGTGATTCTGAAAGGCTCTGCCAGACCACAATCCCTTCCATACAAGAAGATGCTTGATGACTCTCTGGATTTTGAGTCTACAGCAGATCCTGAGATGGATCCATCTCAGATATTGGTATAAATGATTTGATGATTATTTCAATCTTTCATTTGCTTACACTAAAGCCTAATATTACTCCTAGTATTCAGCATAACAAATGAGATCCTGTCACCTGATTGCAATTCAATTCCATTCCGTAAATGTTGTGAATTTATCCTTCTGTGCTCATAAATATGTGCACAGCAATTTTAAATTTGGAGCTTAATGTTTGCATTTACAATGCAATGTTATTTAGATGTTGAATTTTCATTCTGGTAAGTTATAATCATGCAGGTACAATTCACATCTCATGAAACTTCCTCAATGGAGCAGAATAGCGCCTAAATCCAAAGCGACACATTTGTTACATCGTATGCGAGGAGCAGATGAGTTCCCACTCGCATGAGAATTAAAGAATTAATTAAATTATAACTCATGTTTAACTGAATTGTACATTCTTCATCTCCTTTAAGTGTGTTTCTTAAGCTGCATCCCAGATAACCCTGGGCAAAATCATTTACTTCAGCAGCGTGTGTTCCCTGGCCAATTACTTGCTTTCCAGGCCAGTTGTAGTCCCACCATAGTTTTCGTTCACAGCTAACTCATCAAAGAATGTGAAATTGAACTGAGAAACCACCTTGTCTAAATTGTACAGTCTCACACCATCCAAATAATATTATTCCTTGCATTTGGTATGGCACCTTATCGTATCATTCACTGTGTATTGTGTAGGCGTGTGCAACAGTCAATTTGGGCCCAACATTGTCCCATATACAACCAATGAAGTAAGTGACTGATTTTATTTGAGGGGATTGTTGGCCAGGGCACCATGAGAGACCCCCTACTGTTTCTGAATCATGCCATGGGATATCTAACATCCACCTGAACAAAATGTTTAAACAAAATTTTAACTGATGTGTTTATCAAGCCACTACGGAAGAATTTTGACTTCTCAGTGATTTTTTCAGTCCATCATTCTCTTCACTTTAAAACAAATAATTCATTGCATACTGTCAATTATTTCTTATAAACTTGACCATAGACTAGATTGCTATTTTGGAATTATATTTTAGTTTAAAATAATTACACTGTGCAGCAGGACCATTTTATGTTGGGCACCACTGAACATGTATCATCCTGATTAAGTAATACATAAATAGCTGCATTGCTCATCATATTTGAGTAAATATTACACTGAAATAAGTATAAATATATTGCATACTGTGAGTAGTGCAGACCTTTTCCTATTAAATCAGTGTTCAATGATTTTAAATATTTTTGAAACAGTAAATGTTTCTTATCAGTGAGATGGTGATTTTGTGTCAAATGATATGAAATAATATTGTAAATGGTGTGACTTTATTAGAATTAATTTTTCAAGGTGTGTGTTTTGCATCAGTTTCATTGAAGTGTCATTCATATTGACAGCTGTGCTTGGATGCATAATATTGGCCATGGAATTTTCCCCATGTGGTGCAAAATTATGCAATTTTCTCAAGAGCTCAACAATGGCAGAAAACATAAGACATAACCTAGTTGATCTGAACCATTTTTACTAACTTCTCATACCTGTGCTTGAACAGATGTCAAATAACAAGTACCTATCCTCCACAGAGGGAATTTTCCTTGCAGCTGAACTAGCTCCAAGCTGATGTGTTTCACAAGGAATGTTGGAATCAAGTCAAACTTTGTGGTGGTCTCTGGTTTTTTTTCCAAGCCGGGCGGGTCCGCAATACTCTAGGGCACTATGGGTGACAGATCAGCGAGCCTGACTTGTCAGTGGAAATTCAAGGACAGAGCAGTCATTCGGAACAATAATTCTTCTGATTTGCCTCCTGTTAACCCTGCGAGCTAAAGCCCTAATGGATAGGGTGGTCATAGCTGGATAAACAGCGGGATGCCTACCAGACAATGCTCTCAAAGGCAAGCTTTGCAGTTTTAGATTAAATGTCAAGTAGTACCCCAACACATACTCTGGCATCCCCTTGGGTCTCGCCAATCTGCGCCTAATACACTCTGGGATTAGGTAAGCAGGTAGTGTGCCTTCAGGGAGAGATTGCGCATTTCATTTCAGACACAGGAAACTTTCCATGTCTAGCATACGTGGAACTCTCAGGTGGGTTTTGATACTGTTAAGCATGGTGATCGGTTTCTGCATGTGTCTGTCAATCATTGGCCAGTCAAAAGAAATCCATACTTTTGAATTATTATGATAAAGGGCACTTTAAATATGAAATATATCATCAGAATAGAACATTTATTGGCATTTGTTACCTCCAAGTTTGGGAAAAATTAGCCAAGTGCCTAACCCTGATTTTTATCGTTGATACTGGTACCCAGAACCTAAACTCAGAAATGAAGAATGGTTACTTGGGTGAGAGATGGCTATCACTTGTGGAACTGTAGCCTAGCATGAATCTGCACTTACAGGAGACAACATTGGGATTTTAAAAAAAAAAAGACAGATAGTTTGTTCAGAAACAGATGGTTATTTTGCCATCACAACCATTGCCAAGTACTTCAATGCATAAATCAACATTTAAAGACATGATCAGAAAGTTAGATGCAGCCCAGCTGCTGAGAAGAACTTCAGGAGATAGTTTTGACACTTTAATTTGTGTTCCTGTAGCTAGAATGACCTGCCCATAATACACTCAATTTAATTGCATATCAGATCATTTCATGCTCCATTGATTTGCATACCAATTTCCAGGTATCGAAAATGTGCTATTTGTTTGCGTGGTATTGCAAGACACTCAAATGCATATTGGATAATTGAACAATTTACTTAATTGAATGAAAGCTAGGCAGTCGATTTCATTCATATCTGTATAATTAGTCGGATAATTGCTGGAGTTGATCGTGTAAGTAGGGTTGCCAATCTGTTGGACATACAGTATTCCTGGAGGAATCACCTCTGTTTCACTTTAAGCCTCTTAAAGTCCCTTAAAGTGAAACAGCACTGATTTTAAGAGAGTGTTGTAAAGCTCTGTTTGCTATTGTAGTATATTATTAAAGGAAAGCACCAGGAAGGTGGCACCACTAATGAACTTCGGGTAATTGCATACTCTTTATAATTGCATGGCATCTGTCTCCATTCAATTATATGGAGTGCACTGTATTTTTATAAAAATTGGGTCATATGATATTAATATGAGTGTAGAGGCCAAATCCCCTAACTAACAAGAGCAGTGTTCGACTCATAGGAAGTAATTTGTTACTCTGAGCATTGGGAAAAACAATAGCATGGTGTAGTTAAATATTGAATTAAATATTTAAGTGAATATCCACAAATCTTAACATTTCTGTGCAGAGGGGACACAGACCCTGTGCACCTCCCCACCTGCGTGGGAAAAGCTTTGAAGAAAACAGTAACCTCAATTTACCAGTAGTGCTGCCAATCTGTGCACAGATAAATAGGATTTCTCAGGTACATGAGCCTGAGAGTAGTAATGCGAAGTACTCCCTGTTGCACACCTGCTCCTGGTAACTCTGAGCACGCTTTATTTCTGGCAGGAAATGGGGAACTTTGTTTAAATTTGGAAAGTGATCATTGGAATGTGGCCCACAGGTAAACTCCAACTCACTGTTCCTTTGAAACCTCTGGGTTCATGTAGACTCATTTTCCCGCGTAGCTTTGGCACTGTTCAAACCTCCTGCTGAGTAACTTTAAGCTCCCATGGAAACTGATTCCAGGTAAACTCTGTCCCCCACATTAAATGCCAGCCTAAATGCTGCTTTTGTTTGAACTCTAGAGCATATTTTATTTTTGGGCTGGGAGTGGGGGTAAGGGGAAGCATTGGTGGGGGGGATGGCATCATTTAAAATTCTAGATGCAGCCGTGGCTCTGCACGTGTGTACAATTGCTCTGTCGCTGGAAGCAATATAACTTGCTCCTGTGAGTATGAACTGAGCATAAATTCTAACATATGCCATCATTTGCCAATTAACTCAATAAATTTGTGGAGTCATGAATCTATTGAGTTAATTGGCACATGTTGGCAGAGCCAATTCTCTCATGGGCATATGTAAAATAAGATACTCTTAAGTGCATTTGCTATAACTCATTTTTTACCTTTTACTTAAAAAATAGTTTAAAAATAGCACACCACTTTGGATTAATGAGAAAAAACAGCAACGATTCTCCAAGGGTTTTATAGAGTAATAAGGGCAATACTTAAATCATTATAAATGCTTCAAACTGATTATACTTTTCTTGCCAGCCTGGTCTAATGCTTAACCAAGCCAGCAAAAAGCACAATAGGTTAACATTTCAGTTATAGGTCAACTTTATCAGAAATGGTGTCAGCCTAGCTCATTGAGTAGCACTCTCATCTCAGAGTCAGTAGGTTCTGGGTTCAAAACCCACATTTGGACTTTAAGCTCATTGTTTAGGCTGACACCTGGTCCTCACGCTCAAAGCATCACCCATTACTGGTTGTGCGACAGTCAGATAGAGAGACGTGAGGCTCGCTGTGACACCCTCTGTAGTCAGGTAGGCTGCTGACACTCACTGCAATGGCTTGCACATAACTATCAGTAGCCTGTGGAACAGCACTTCAGCAAGAGAAGGCCAGACAAAAGCAGAGAGGCATAGGCCAGAAGGGAGAAAATTAGAGAAAAAAATAATTGGACAGTCTAAATTTATTTTAATAAAGTAAATGTTGATTTATTTAAAATGTTCATGTTTAAGGTGATCTATTACCCTATCCTCAAGTTATTTGTTGTATGGTTTCAGTGAAGGTTTGGTCAAAATTAAATAGCTCCCTCAAATAGCTCCCTCGTGGAGTCCTGTAGCTCAGTGGTTAGAGCACTCGCTTTGCAAGTGAGAGACCTGAGTTCAATTCCAGGCAGGGTGAAACCTTGGGCAAGTTTTCTTACTCCACACACCTAATAATAATCCCTCAAAAAAAAACAATAATAAATTGGTCATTTTTAATCCATGACTGGTTGTGGGACATTGCTGTGCGCAATTGGCTGCCATGTTCGCCCACAAATATACAGTCAATTCACTACAGTATATTCTGTGAAGCGCTTTGGGACGTCTAGAAGACGTGAAAAGCGCGATATCAAATGCAAGGATTATTATTATTATATTTTGCAAATATTCTAAAATGGGTTAATTTATATGATATGGTGATTTTTTTGTTAATATCAGTGGGTTCTCAAATGGATTTGTTGCATTAATTGGGACTTTTACTTTACAAATATCAGATTGTGAGATTTGCAAATAGTGAATCCATATTTCCAAGGCGAGTTGACATGATGTAATACTAATGATAATAATCATTGCATTTGATACAACACCCTTCAAGTCAGGAGGATGTCTCAAAGTGCTTCATCAGACCCACTGTAAAGTGTATCGATTGTGTGTTTTGTAGGCAAAGATATCCCTGATGCAGACAATATATGAGACAAAGCACTATTTTTGGTGATACGATGAGCCCTTTTTCCACCCCAGTGTTTTTTTTACACATTTTTTAAAGCAAAAGGATGCTGGTTTCCTCACAGGACTTTTTTTAAAAAATCTTGCTGGTTTGGGATTCACCATTCACAGAAGTACATCAGAATCTAGCAATCCAACTAGAAATTGCAATTAATGCAACAAAACTGTTCTGCAAATATTGCACATTAGTCCCATTAAATCTAATTTAATTGGATTTAAATTCCTTTTAGTAGCTTTTAGTAAACACTGGCAAGCTCAACTCTTCTCCATGTGTGAAAGTACCTATCAAATCAGTTTGACAAAGTACTGAGTTTGTTGATGGATTAACAAATTTTCCATGTCCTGCCTCAGAATTTTAGAACAATCACTAATGCAACATAATTGGGCAATATGAATGACAGTGCCAAATAGATTGATGTCTGGCAGTGTCATATACATCCCTTGGATTGAAGCTGTTGCTGTTCTAGATATGTTGGTATTTAAGATGTTGCTGGAATTGCTAAGAGTTTTTATTATTAATACCAATGGGCTGATCCTCGGGTCTAATGTGATTTTCGGTTGGAGTCAAGCTCTTGCGAGAAGTGTGATTTATATGCATTTCTCCACTACATACAGCTTATATCTCAAGGTGCTGTTTCAAGCACAGTTATTGGCACTAAGATGCCAGTATTTCTTGAGGAGCTCTTTTTTCAACTCTATTTCCTGTTTCATAATTTTTGATTTCTGAAGCATGTGACTTATAAGTCAATTCTCCTAACTGAAATAAAATCCTTAGAAAATTTGATTTCCTTCCCTCTCCAAAACCTTTGTTTGGTATGTACCCCTCATTCTTTTTTCCAACCCCTTTTGCATACCTTAAGATTTTACGGTTTTCTCTGAGTGGGGGAGGAAAGCATTAAAGGGCATTGGCCAGCAAGAAAGAGGTAGACATTCCACCTGGCTCTTATTTTACACTACTTTTTTTTTAGCATGCAGAGATTTGGCACATTATTGAATTCAACAGTAACTCTAGTTCTTAAAGAATTTATCTAAATAAATCTCAAAATTAAGATTATTTAAGAATTTGACAAATGAGATTTATGTTGCTTCAAAATGCCGGATGACATTAGATTGCTGCTGACATCAATTCCTGCACACTTTGCAAGTGTAGCACACAGAAAGTGAGGATAATTGTGACTTGTCCTCTCCTCCCCATTTCCCCTGTCCACCTCAAAACCCAGAATTCCTCTCACAAATAGACTGAATGGTGTCAATGTGGATGAATTGTCCTCCACCTCCGCCACTTTGCCCACTTCCTACCGTACTATATCCCAAATGCAGCCGAAACCCTCTTGCATGCGTTTGTCACCTCCCACCTGGAATATCAAACAAACTCTTCGCTGGTCTCCCCAACTCCACGATTCAAAAAATCCAGCTCATTCAGAACTCTGCTGCCCGCATACTCCATACCCCCATCTCACCAGTTCTGGCCAGGCTCCACTGGCTCCCCATCACCGAACAGATTGACTTCAGGATCCTCACACGTGTTCAAATCCATTAACTCCTTGACACCTCCCTACCTCTTCACTCCCCAATTCACCACCCGAAGCCTCCACTTGACTGGCATTGCCTCCTACTTGTCTCTCGCACTCTCTGCTCCACCAATGGAGGTCGCACTTACAGCCACTATGCCTCAAGACTGTGGAATGTTCTCCCTCAATCCCTCCGCCTTGTCGGATCTCGCCCCTTTTTCAAATCCCACCTGAAAACTTGCCTTTTTGACCGTGCTTATGATCACCTCCCCCACCCCCCATCCCCGGCTTGGAGTCAGGCTCCGCCACTGTTAAGCGCTCTGAGACACTACACTGCTTGGATTGTTGTTGTTGTTGAATATGGTGGGTAGCATTTGAAAGATCAGGCAACATAATTTTCCCTCGCAACATAAATGGGTGAGGAGATATACTCCATGACCGGGTAGATTCTCGGTGACGTGATAAGGCGCTATATCAAATGCAAAGATTATTATTAGATTATGCATGGTCTGTGGAAGGAGCAAACTTAGAGATCCAAATTACTCCATTATGTTTTTGAACATTACTTGAACACTGCTGAGTTGAAGGTATCAACATTTTGCTGTGATGCTTACTGATAGTTGTGAAAAATAATCCCAGCAGGCAAATTTGTTACCAGCAATAGTGGAGAATACAGCCCTGAGAGGAAAATCAAGGGAGGAAAATGTTTTCAATTTAACAATACTCTCCAGGACTACATTCACACTGAGGAATAATCCTGGTCACTTAATTTCCTCTATTATCAAGTATATGTAAAATTGGTAGATAATGAATATAATGAAAAAAAACAAGGTTTCCTACTTTGTTGACTCAAACGTAAATAATTTCCCTGAGAAATGTTATTTGAATATACCACAATATAATTATGGAGCAGACTATGATAAATATAGAAGTGGTTTCTGTCCACAAGAAGGATGACCCTACTGAGACTGAGAACGACAGAGGGATTTCAATGATTTCAGTGGCTCTCAAAGTGGTGCTTCAAGTAGTTACTGCATATGTATCGCATACATTGCATGTTAATAGTTTGATCAGGAAGAATAGGCTAGCTTCCGTTCTCATGAAGATTGTGTGTGATAGTTTGTGGTTTTGCTTGAGATCGCAGAACATAATAAGGCTAGGGGGAAATCCACCTAGGTTCTGTTCATCGACTTCCAAAAGGCTTTCGACCTAGTGCATCATAAAGCCCTCATGATCGGGGGTAGACTGGGTGTATGAGAAATCAGGAAATTTCCAGAGTGCCCCGATGAATGCCTCACAATACTTACCACCATTTTGCAGCCGTTTAAACAGGACAAAGTTATTAAATGAGTGGACGTTTTATGTTTTTTAGCTCCCCCCCCCCCATGAATTAGTGCCTCCATGAATTGCCATCCTTCACAAATTGGGACCCCCATTTTACATGACGATCTTGAGCCCTTTCAGGGAACCAGTTTGCCGCTGCCTTTGGTGAAACTGGACACCTTGAAAATACATGCCAAATTTGGTATTTTATTTGGAATGTGTATTCCAGTTCGAAGATCCATATCAGGGTCGACAGTAGACTCACTGAGCCCAGCCCTCTTAAAATGGGGAGGTAGGCAAGGCAGCCGATTGTCACCCACCCCTATTCTATCACAATGGGTCATAGATTTATAGATGGTACACCTCAGAAACAGGCTATTTGGCCCATCCAGATCAGACAATAATTCACACAAGTGCTTATCCTATATCCTATCTCTAGTCCCATTTCCTCTTTTTTTTACCATATCCCTGAACTTCCTAACTCTGTCCAGTCTTTTTCTGTGTGTGCGCATGGTTGTTACCCCAACAACTAACTGTGACTGAGAATTCCACACTCCTACCTCTCTCTGTGTGAAAAAGGTTTTTCCTAAACTCTGTTTTGGACCTTCCAGTTCTGATTATAAAACCATGCTCTCTATTCATTGGACCCCTGACCCCCAGAAATAATTGTTTCCTGTCCACCCTATTCTAAGCCTCCTATCATCATCAGGGGGATGACCAAAGGCACTGTTAAGTAGCATCTTGAGATGGGCTATGAGTTGCAGTGTTGGAGTAACCACATAGTTACTACACTTCACAGTAAAATCTTGTGAAGTGCCTTGAGACATCTCAACAACGTGATGAGGTGCTATACCAAATACAAGGATTATTATTAATTTTTATTATCATTTAACAAGATAATTCTTCGTAACTTACCTTCCAATCTATTTTTCTTAAGACCCAGCCATTTGTGGGAAGTTGCAGAGGTCTCCCTTTAGTTATTAGCAAGACAGAATTCCTGCTGATGTGTTAATTATCACCAGTGTTCTGAAGCTCCCCACTCATTTCTGCCTTCCAGCACTGTGAGCTGATTTCCCTGGCACTATCAGAAGCTTTTCTAAAATCTACTTCCATGAGTTCCCAATACGCCCAAGCTCTGTTATTTCTGCAAGATACTCAAATATATTTATATTGTGCAATCTACCTATAAAACTATCCTCAGTCTCCCTTATCATTGTGTATTTCCTTAGATGCTTCATTATTTCATGCTTTCAGGGGTCCCTCCAATGTTTAAATGCACTGCTATCAAATGCACTGACCTGTGGTTCCCTGGGTTATTGTTCTGACTCTTTTTTGGAAGTTGGTGTTTTGTTCCCTGTTCTCTAGTCCATTGGCCCCACTCCCATTTCCATTGAGTCCCAAAATATACCTGCTGGAACACAACCAGTTTCATCAGCCACTTCCTCTAAGTATCATATGTGCATCCAACCATTGCATTAAGCACCATGTAGCATCAAGATAATTCTTAAATTAGTCCTATTTTCCGACCTCAACCATTCTTCTTGATAACCTGGCCTGTTGTATGTTACCCTCTGTATAAATGAATACCTGGTGTGTGTATGTATGTATGTTTGATTGTTAAAATGAACTGTTGACAACGTGAAATGAAAATCTGGAATTTGGAATGAGACTCTTCAGAAATTAATTGTTTTGGTTTTGTATTGTCAGCTAAGCGTTGGCAGCTGCTTTGGCACTTTGGAACCAATTCCAAACCTAGATGTAAGCAGCAGTGTTCTGAGCGTCATCACAGAATCCTACTGTCAAATGCTCAAAATATCTGTCCGAGAATATCGGAGAATAAAAGAGGTGAGAACATTATTGAATTCCACACCCAATTATTGAATTCCTTGTCTCCCTCCGTTTCTGACAATGCTTTTAGGAATCTTAAACAAGAAAGATATCAAGAAACACAAAATTCTTTTCATTTTGCATTGAAGGAAATCATTCTGCACGACAAAATAAGGAAGAAAGAATTGATCCAATCCTGCCCTTTTTATGCTCAATGGCCAAAACTTTCTACAAATAAATTGGTTGCCATAATGGAGTGGAGAAAATATCCAGCAGGTTATGGTTAGTATCTTTATATTTGTGTCTCAACATAGACCTCAACATGGTCTAGTTTCTTGGTGTTCCAGTTTAATGAATTTTACAATTTTAGTTGTAAATCAGAATTTGCAATTAATGCAGTGTCTACCAGTTTACGAATGCTGCATTTATGTATTGTGACAATTTGTCTTGCTTTTCATGTGCTCGCTTCCTAGTGGATGAAGTTTCCAGGTCACATTTAAAGCTTAGTACATATCATTGAAATATTCAGATTTTTTTTCAATTGCGGAGAATGTTAATATTTACGTACATGTCTCAAATCATCATATTTAAAGAGAAAATGGTGGCTAGTTAGTGACACCAGAAGCAAAAATACATTATTAAGCAGTTGACACACTCCCAAAACAGGGAACCAGCTTCAGAAATTTCTGAGATTATTTTTCCTGTTTTTAAAACAGAAGGGGTTGTTCTGCTTGGTTCTCTAAGTGTATTTTCCATTCTAATTCCAAGTGCACATCAAAGAATTGCTGCGCTTATTCTAGATTTATGTTGCATGTAGTGGGAAGAAGATGAGTGAGCAATTAACATCCACCCTGTTTATCCTGCAGGTTTGAATCACATCACTTCTTTTCCAGGTGCTCTGAGAAGCATATCTCCAGTTTTGTGTTACATGGGTTCCTGTTTATAACTCACGTGTGCCAGTGGATTGCTGTCACAACGTGCAGTATGAAATAGGCATGGAGCAGAAAAATGCCCAAACTCCTTAATTCTGTAGCTATTAAGATGTCCTGCAACAAGGGGATTATTAGCCAGGACACCATGAGAAACTCCCTTCTCATTTTGAATAGATCTTTAACGTCCATTGAACAGTCAAATGGGACCTCAGTTTAATAATGTCTCATCTTACGGACACTCTTCCAATAATGCAGCACTCCTCCAAGACGTATATCAAAATTATAGTCAGTATCAAATCTTCAAAACACTTTGAAAATTTAAAACAAAAAATTATGAAATGTTAATAAAAAAATAGCTTGCTGTTTTACAATGAAACTCGTAAATGACACAGAGGCTATAGCAGACGCAGTATTTTGAGCACAAAGAAATATAAAGCTTCACGTAATTTACAATCCAGTAGTATTGATACATCCTTCTCTTACTGTTTGCAACATTTCTGCCTGTTCAGTTGGACTTTAAAAGAGAAATTTGAAAAGAGAAGGGAGTTTCTTCCAGCGTCATGGTTGACAACACTCTGGACTAAATGGATGTTCATGGGAACATATTGGTGCAAATGATTGCTGCTTTTGTCCAGAAAAACAAGTCACTGCACTCGACAGCAGTAGCCTGCAAAGCCCCATAAGACATTTCAACATAAAAATGCAAGTTTATTTCTCTCTTTACCCGCTGGGATTACAAGACCTAGAGTGACTCATTATCTGATTTTCCTTCCTTTCCTGTGGCTTTGACTTGACTTTCCTCTGTCATGATGATTGAATTTGGAAGTTCACCCCCACTGTTAAACAGATTAGATTTTCAAGATTCATTGTGGTTTGAAATTACTGTAGTTTAAGGTAATTTCGAAAGAACCAAAAGCATCAGTGAATTACCAAAATAGCTATTTCATCCTTTTTTTGTGAAATGTTTAAAACTATACTTTGGTAATTTGACAAAGCAATAATTTGTAACCACTGAAGAGATAAATGGTGTTTATGATGGGAAATAAAAGTTTAATTTATATGTATGTATAATATTATAATTATTATTTATGAATATTATGTTTACGTATAATGTTTCACTTGATGGGAAATAATAGTTTAATTTATATGTATGTATAATATTATAATTATTATTTATGAATATTATGTTTACGTATAATGTTTCACTTGATGGAAAATAATAGGTTCATGTTAAATATTTGTTTTCAAAGTTAGGTCTTGAGATGAGCGGAATTGGAAAATCTGCTGCCGTGGTGATTTACCATGGTCTATTGGGAGTTAAAGATGCCATGAATCAGGGAGTGCCTACATAGATTTGACCCTCACCTTCACCAAGTGTAAAAACATAAAATTTTCTTTCTCCATAGAAAAGTTTGCAATCCATGGTGTGTACTTACCACCATAAAAGATGGAAGAGTACGGTGTATTTACCAGATAGCAATCTTTCCCGTAAATTGTAAATCCTGTGAAGTGTTTTGAGACATCTCGATTATAGAATAAGGCCTGTATCACATGCAATGATTATAAAATGTACAGCATTTCCGTTAAGTATGGGCTTCAGGACTCGTCTGCCAGATTTTGTTTCAGTGGGCAAATTTGAATTCCGGCCTTCTACAATGGAAATGTTTGTTGAGAAAAACAATTCAGCTTTAGAAACACTTTATCCTTCCTATAATGCTGTTGAACTGCATAACTTTGAGACATAGTTTTTGACCTAATGTTCAAGATGACAATGTCAGAAAATAGAAAAAGAACGCAAAACAAGAATGGAGATAACAATGCAAAGTTTCATAACAGGTTTGATTTGAAAATTATAACATTAAATGTTTTGAAACTTTATCTTTTTCCAACCATTCCTAAAAATTGGGTCAAATGGAATATCTTGCTCCTCCTGATTTTAATGCAGTAATTTGACCCAAAGGCTGATTTAAAAGGATGCGTAGCTGCCACTTTGCAGATCCCGATTACTTTTTTTGATCCCACAGTCAGCATTTGAGCTCTGCTTCACAGTATATTGATCCAGCTAAATCAATAGCCAATTTTTTTGCTGTATTCAAACGCTTATAATCATAATTGGAGCAGCAATTGGAATTGGAGCAGAAAATCAGAGAATTCTTTGGTACCAGCTATCTTGCTGAGGCCACGGGGTAATCATCCATGGCTCTTCTGACTCATACCGAATGAAGATTTGTCAAGCAGTTTTCATAACAATAATACACCTTCAAGCTACTTACCTTTTAAATTCACTGCTGTTAGGGCACAATACCAGGCTCCTTGACAACAGCCCGATGGCATCCATGTAAATAATAATTACATTAATAATTAATTTAGCCCTTTACCAGATATTTAATTTAACCACTTTCCAATGTTAGTACAATAAATTGTGCATTTGACATGTTGCCTTATCACATTAAAATGTCCCGAAGTATTTCACACTAGTTACTGCTAAATGTAGCAACTGTGTATTTGTTGGTGAACACAGCAGCCAATTTACACTTGGTAATGTCCCACAAACAGTCAGTATGTGAATGACCAATTTAACAAGAGGATTGTTTCATTTTGAATAGTGCCATGGGATCTTTATCGTTCACTGAACCCTCACTGAAGTCAGATGGGACCTCAGTTTAATGTCTCATCTTATGGACACTCTTCCGATAATGCAGCGCTCCTCTAAGATATATATCAAAATTGTAGTCAATATCAAATCTTCAAAACACTCCTTTGAAACATAATCTAATAATCCTAACATCACCTAATAATCTTAATCCTTTTCAGAAATTTGTCTAGTTCTAGATTGAAACCCTGTATTGTTCTTTGTTTTGCCACCTGTGCTAGTGTATTGTTCCATGTGATCTTCATCCTATTGGTGAAAACAATTCTTCTTTCCCATTTAATTTTGTTGTCTTTCATTTGAAGCTTTCAAAATGATTTGACAATGGGCTCTATATATTTAATGTTATGTTCTTCACAGAAGAGGAATAGTGATTATAATATTTCTTTAAATTCAATAAGAAATAATCCACAATTAATTAAAGATAAATAATAATAATAATCCTTACATTTGATATAGTGCCTTTCATGTAGGGAGGAAATCTCAAAGCTTCACAGAAGTCTACTGCAAAATGAAAATGTAATGATTGGATATTTTGCAAGTGACTGATAAATTTATTCAATGTGATGCATGCTAAAAAAGATTTATTTTTATCCACCCTATAGGAATGTCAAGTTTGTTGTACCCAGGTGGTAAATTCAGAACTATTGTGGAATCTATGAGCAGATGTTTGCGACACACAATTCAGATTTCATTACTGTATAGAGAGTGGTGAATATGTGAAATAAACTTACCAGGGTGGGCGATGGAAGCTGCTTCTATCAGCAGATTCAAGAGGAATGAATTGGATAGTTATTTGGTGAAGAAAATGATTGAGAGGTAGTGGAGATTGAATAGTGAGGATAATTACTTTTGTTTTACTTTGAGACTGACAGAAAGGTGGTGATAGGCTTTTCAAGGTCTGTACTTACCGATCTGTGGTTAGAATAATTCACATTTAGGACATCGCAATACAACAAAACAGATTTACATTTATACAGCAACTTTCACTTGGACATCCCAAAGAACAATCACGGTTCTAGATCGGCATCTGAGCTGCCATGGGGAACCAATTGCGGTAGGGGAGGATGAAGATGACCGAAAGAGTAGTCAAAGAATTGCGTTTTGAAATTTGCCTTGAAAGGGAGAAGGGAGTAGGAGGGACTCTGAGAGGTCCAAATAAATTTACAACACGATTGGAAGCATACTTACAACAATAAAACAGGTTATTTGACTGTTGATGCAAGATATGTGCCTGATCTAAATTGATCCATAACTCAGGTTACCGGGTATGAGCGAGCTTTCATACAAGTAAAAATGAATCTACAATTTAATTTATTTTACGTTTTATTTTATTTATAATTTAAACTGGGAAAAGTTGATGATCTCCTAACTATTATGCATAATTTCACTTGTGAATTATTCTCTAGAGAATAATTATATTTTATATAAATTATATAAAGAATAAATATATTCTGTGAAGCGCTTTGAGATGTCTAGAAGATGTGAAAAGAACTATATCAAATGCAAGGATAATTATATTATTCGAGAAGGGAGTTTCTCTCAGTGTCCTGACCAATAATCCCCCAAATAACATTAGGCTTCATTGCTGTATGTGAGACATTGTTGTGCGTAAATTGCCTGCTACGTTCGCCTACAAAATACACAGTCACTGCACTTTACAATATATCCTGTGGCACACTTTGGGATGTCCTCCCGATATGACAGGTGCTGAACGATAATAATGATTATTAGCATTTTTGGATTTTCCTACATCTGAAGAATCAACCTTGTCAGCAATGAAATGATCAATTGTATTTGTAAAATACATGTCCATGCAGGTTTTTACAGGTTAAAAAAATATTCAATGGTGACAGCGCTGATATTGATTCAGATTCTTTCATCTGTTATTTCAGCTGCAACATAGGGCAGTAGGGTGTTATCACTTTTTCACAACTGATGGCCGAGCCACACAACATCAGCTCCACTGTTTGTGCACAAAGGTGTTAAATAATGTCAGCACTTTCATAGCATTATTTTCTTTTATATTAAGAAATATGACAGCAGAATGATTTACCTCTATGAAAGTAGAACTGTTCCCACATAATATCAGTATTTGGGGAGAATATTGCATTTGATTGCAACATTAAGTTTTACTTTGCAGTACCTTTCATGTCTACAAATACACAGTCAGCAAACACATTGTGCAGTAAATCCCAATGTCACTATACCAAATGCAAGGATTATTATTATAATCAAATGTCATAAAGCACTTCACAAAGTTAATGGGATTTATTGAGCAAAGGAAAGGAGGGGGATTTGATTGTGTTGATCGGAGGCAAAGCGAAAGAAGATATGAAGTGGAAACATTTTTAGGAATTTGCAATAAAATAGGTTCAGTAACTCAAATTGGGAAAGTTCAACACTGTTCAAATTGCAGCCATGAGGTTTGTGATGAGGCCCATAAGAGACATCAGGACAGGCAGTTTAGTGGATGAGAGGATGGCATACAAATACTATCTATCTAAGAATAGGTGAGGAAATCTACATTAAATGGCAAAACTTTAAAAGCAATGGAAAAGCAGAGAAAACCAGAGCCCCAAATTTGCTTTGGGATGGTAGTGGGGTTAATAGCAAAGCTGCCTGGGAGACTGTGCAATTCCATGATTGTAACTTCTGTTTAGAGAAATATACTTCCTACTCAATACACTCAGCTAGGTTACAAGTGCCAAACATGTAAATAGGTAGGCTTATTTCTCATTACCGCATTGTGCCAGAAACAATATGTAGGTCTTAGTGTTTCCAGAATCCCAAAAATAAAACATTATGATATGGCTTCTAGGGAATACCTGTGACAAATCATGTACACATGTGTTCATCCGTACCAAATTGCCGTTAGAATTAATTTGGGTTATCTCTGGTACTTCACTACGAGATTTGGCTGAGAATCAAAGTGGGGATGTTTCCCCCCCTCCTATCCTCCCACCCATTGCATGCCTATGAACCTTGATTAAATAACACAAGGAATGCTTTTAAAACATGACAAGTTTGGGGAGAACAAGGTTGCAAGGCTGTGGGGAGAGAGTGGGGGAATGGGATTGATTTGGGTAGCTCTTTTCAAAGAACCGGCACAGACACGATAGGCCGAATGGCCTCCTTCTGTGCTGTATAATTCTATGATATGATTCTATAATATGATATGACAACATTTCTTTTGTACTTATGAGTGAGCATTTTCACAGCTCTGTGTCAGTCTTGGTTTGTTGCATCCATACTCGTGAGATCCTGCTACTAAAATCAAAATTACCAAGGCAAGCACTTTTCAGTTTAATCATGGTTTAATTATTCTGTACTTTAAACATACCACCAATTTGGACTTTATTTTTTTATTGAAATATAGTAATGTTTTGTGCATATTTTCACATTAAAAAGAAAAAACTCTTACAATAGTAAATTTATATAAACAAAATTTCTTTTGTGCAATTGTCTGAATTGTCCACGAGAGAAAATTGTACTTGTCTTTGATTCTACATAAGACTGCAGACCACTTTAAGAGTTTTGTTTTAAGCTGTTTATTGGATAGCATCAGATTCAGAGCCATGATAGATTCTTCAAATCTGGTTTTAGGATTTGCTAATGGAAACCCATTAGCTTTGAAGGTCAATGGTGAACAAGGAAGTTAATTCATGAAAGGATGAAATAGGGACAGATATTTGATTTAAGAATATATTACTGGACTCTAAGAATGTATTTCTGCATTGTTTTGCCTATAGATTTCAAATTGTTAGAGTTGCCTATGATTTTTGTTCATCATATTTACTTGCAGTGCTGGTGAAAGAAGGTGAAATCAGCAGCTTTGCAGGATATATTATGTCTGGTGAATGCCACATTTTAAGAAGCATTGAAGTCATTGTAAAACGTCCTCTGGGAAAAACGGTAAATAGTTTGTGAATTACATCTTGTAGACTGTAACAAATAATTGTGGTGAAATCAGCAGCTCTTTTTATCTGATTGTTGTCTTCCATACTTAAAACAGCTACAAATAGTTGACTTTTTAAGTTCATTGAGAAATGACTTCTACAGTCAAGTCTATTTGAATGTAAATCAAATGTTTTGATTTACTACATCCAACCTGCTTTACCATTTCTCTGTATCAATTGATTGTTTTATATCAAGCCTTGTTATTAAGGGTCCTCACAGAAACCTGGATCACCCTAGGCGACTCCTTACTCCTCTGGTTCCTTTCCCTCCTTCGAGCACCTTACCCTATACCATCCCTCCAATTCTCCTAGTTTATCACCTCCCCCAACTCTCCCTCACCTTTGTCTTTGAGATCTTCACCCTTCTATCTTCTCTCTCCCTTTGTTCTGAGCTCCTCCTCATCCTAGGCGATTTCAACCTGCACTTCACCCCCTCTTGCTCTATCGCCGCTGATTTCACCTCCCTCCTCTCCTCTTCCAACCTATCCCTCCACATCAACTCTACTCTCCACATCCATGGCCACCCGCTTGACCTGATGATTACCTGCGGAATCAGCATCTCGGACGTCATCATCACCGACAAAGCCATCTTGGACCACTACTTCATCTCCCTTAACTCCTCAATCCCTCTCTCCACCACCCAACCTACCTCCATCTCCTACCGCTGCTGGAAAAATAACTCCCCCTACACTTCTCCGCTGCGCTGGAGTCATCTAAACTCCTCCTGTGAAAGGTGCTATATAAAAGTAATTTGTTGTTAATACAATTACAAATCTGAACGTATTTACTTTCTCCCTCTCATTTAGTATGTTACCCATTTCAAGAGGGAAGTGAACCATTATATGAGAGTTAGAAGCTTGAACTTGTATGAGAATAGGGCAGGCCATTGGGATTAAAAGAACGCTTGCTTTTTTGAATATAGATAGCCCGCGTATTTTGGCAAGTTGATGTTGCATGCAAGTGGTCTTGACTCGTATGTTAAATGCGTTTTGTTTGCATCTTTTACTCCTATCACATGTCTCATATTTGTTTCCTAGGTCAATGAAACTAAACATGTGATTATGGGAAAATTAGAAAAGAATGAATCCTTCGGAGAGATCAGCATTATACAACAAGAACCTTTCACCTGCACAGTTGTCACAGGAACAGATGTTGAGCTTGGAGTTATTTCTGACAGTGCTTTGCTTGGTAATGTTGCATTGGCCATCTCCTTTGTGTTCAGAGAACCTTAGCATCCAGTGGTTTCTACAACCATTACTGTTGCTATAGTAATTTGTGCCTCACACTAATCTAAACAATTACTTGTCTTTTTTAAATAATGCATTAGTTGTACATTTGTGTGATAAAGGCCCTTTGAGATCACTTGTTCATCATTCAATTCAGATACAGCTGTTTCACCATTTGATAAAGAAGCTCTGTGTATTTACAGAACTTGACGAGGTAAATCAGATGCTTCTTCAACAGACTGCAGAACTGACCTTCGGCAAACTCAATCAGGTGAGCGAACAAATGTATAAACTCTTTAAAGTAATTTGCAGGGGTATGGATAAAAAGCAGTACTGAATGTATTGCTCTTTCAAAGAGCCAGCACAGACACAATGGGCTGAATGACTATAAATGTGCTGTACATTTCTATGGTTCTGTGGAATAGTTTCTAGCCGAGTATAACTCATATTTCAGCAGTGAATTCTCTCATCCTGTTCGGCCACAAAATATACTTTCATTCCACTTCACAGTATAACCTGTGCGTGATTTGAGATATCCTCCAAACATAAAGGCGCTACATCAAGTGTACTGTTTTATTATTATTATTATTATTATTTTTATTATTATTAGTTGAACCAATTCCCTGTGCCAATAATTACTCATACATATCTACATTTCTGGGTTGCATATCTGGTCTCAGAGGTAGTTTGGCACCCTCCTTCCACCCCCTGCCTTCCACCCGCCCCGATCCTGAACCCCAGCTTGGGTCCGAAACACTTATTGTCCAGTGCCTTGGGACGTCCTCTGGACGTGAAAAGCACTATACAAATGTAATTTTGTTGTTGTTTTGTAGTCATTAGGAGCTCCAAGGGGACATACGAGGCTAGCACAGCCATTCAGTAAGAAGGAGGGAGTGCTGGCCACAAGTGACAGTTTACATCTCCTTTGCAACTCATCAGATGAACACTTTCAGGGCAATATTGCATTATGCATTAGAACAGCAAAGAGAGGTCAGACCCGAGCAGGAAGTTTCTCCCTGTCCTCCCACTAATTCACTATTCAGGGATCACAAAACATCCAATGGTAAAATTGGTGTGCGACTGTTCTCACCACTTGATGTACGTGCAAATTTTATTAACGCTTTTGTGCTAAGTGGCCTTTGCTTCTCCTAACCCTGTCGGGTGAGTCCTTCTTTCAAAAGGTGACTCAACCAAGTCAGAGTCACACACAGACAGGTATTCCCAGTTACCTCAATGTCAGTTACTGGAATGTCTAATCGGAGTCTGCTCGCACTAGTAGACCTCCTATTTTGACAACCACCCTCCAAAGTGCTTATTCCTTTTCTTGACTAGAATATTATAGAGATTCGAGGATATATTCGGTAGAAACAACAGCTCTTTATTAAAACCTAGCAACCCTAAGGCTAGCTTACATATAAGGATCACAACAATGGAAAATATGCAACAATGGGATCAAATATAACTATCACACATAACTATAATAACTGGTAGCACAATAGTATATTAGTAGAACATGAAATAGTCTGACCAAAAAATGTAACAAGCACTTAATATCTTCAGTAAAGGTTTGCTATTTGAGGACAGACACCAGGAGGTTTTCCTTTACCAGAAATAAATAATGACTGGAACAGGTTGCCAGGAAGGGTGTTTGAGACCAGTATATTGGATGTATTTTTAAAATGTCAGTTTGATGTTATGATGGGGTATGATAAATGTTGATATTCTGTAAGGATGAATTCAGATGGGCTGAAGGGCCTTGATCCGAACCAACCTTTTGATATTATTCACAGGTGACTTGCAAAAGTCTGTTGTCCTCAATCTCACCCTATACTAGGTATATTGGTCTATTTGATTCTCCATTGATGTACTTGAAAATCTTCCCCATAAGATTCCATTGTTTCAATTTGTTCCAAATCAATCCAGGAGACTTATAGTGCAAGTCTGTGACCCAAATTCCACCTGAAAATATGTTCAAAATTCATTCGTGTTTTGATACCAAAGTGAAAATTTCCAGCAATAAATAAATGGAGTCGATCAAGACCTGAAAATGAAATGCCCATATATGACTACTTTCACCATGAGAAAGCCATTATAAAGTTATATATTTCAGTCTCTGCCACCTGCCAAAACTTTCAAAATTGATCCCTTCACAGATTAGCTGCTTCATGATTACAGTTTCTCTGCTGAAAATAATGCCCTTTACAGATAAACAACTGACTTCCCTCACTGACAGAATGTATTCCCCACTGTAAACAATCAGTGTCTTGCCAAAGGAAAATTAGCTCAAACGGATAGATTTCTTTAACCTCTAAACAGCTTCTTTATCAGAAAGGCACATATAGAAGTCAGGAAGGACTACTCCCTACCAATTTTAGCATTGTTGTTGCCTGTTTGATGTGTGGAGTCTTTTTTACGATCCAAAACATTAATTCAGTTGGGATTTTCAAAGTAAAAAAGAGTTGAATTTACAGATACACTGATAGTGTAGGTGCCGTCTTAAAATTTAGCTTAATCTTGGAATTGGAGCAAAGTAAGAACAGACAAGCTGAGGTCAGCAAATTTACAGATAATCACAGGATCCAAACCCCCCGCAAAAAAAACATATTTTTCCCCATGAACATTTCTCTTCCAAGTGACCATTATTTACTGATGAGCCTTGACAATGAGCGTGGCAAACATCAGAGCCGCCTGATCTTGTTTTTTCCCAAATCCTCAAGCGCTCTGGGATGCTATCCTGCGTGAGGGCGCTACATAAATGCAAGTTGTTGTTGTTGCCCACACACATGCATCTTGCAGTGGGTTTCTGTGGACAGCGATTACAAAGGAAACCCTGGCTGATTTACTTGTTGGCCATTTTTGGAATCATCTGTTTTACAGATGAACTCCGAGATGTTGCCTGGCATGAAGGGCGCTATGCGAATGCAAGTTGTTGTTGTTACAGTCTTGCAAATAAGAACTTACATTTAGTTGAGATTGAATATGGTTTGTGAATATCCCATTATCAATCATACTCACTGTATTTATACTTAATTACTGTAATTAATCCTTTTATTTGATATAATACCTGTAATATCGCAATATCCCAATGTGCTTTAGAGGCAAAGATAGTTTGCACACAGCAAGGTAGCCCTGAAGTGAATGATCAATTAATCTGGTAGATTGTTGGCAGGGCACTGGAAAAAAGTGCCATGGGATCTTTTAAGATCCATCTGAATAGGCAGACAAGACCTTGATTTATTGTTTCATCTAAACAGTAGCACTTTGACAATACAGTCCTCCTCCAATACTGAGTCAGTCTAGACTGTGAAACTTGATGTGAGGCTTTAGCCCATAACCTTCTAACCCAGAGATGAGTGGGCTACCAACTGAACCAAGCTAACACCTGAAGTTCTAATAGCTTCTCTGGCAAAATCACCTTCTCCGTCGATCTAAAAGTGTTAATCACTCTGTGATCACACTCCTCTATCCACTTTTATACTGTATTTTCAGCATTATTTCAATACAATTTTCATGTTGAATAAATGCATTGTTTTAACGTCATTTTTTCTGATCATTGCCTTTTAAAACATTGTAAATTGTTAGGCATAATTGAAGGTCAGCACTATTTTATGTGTCATCACTTCTGATTTAGCTGATTTAGCAAATTTATTATTTTGTTTTAATCTATGCTGCTAGAAGTTATTATGATGCATGAACCAACCTGGTTCTGTTCACACACCTAACAAGGTGTGAATCTGGATATGTTTGTAAATTTGGTCCAGGTATCTTCAACCTTCAAAGTGAAGGTGTGCCAGCATTTGAATTGCTTCTGCTCTCCCCAGCCTCTCACTTTTTAACTTCAGGTAATCCACACATCATGTCCCTTTCAATATTTATAAGGCATATGTTTCATTGAGGAGAACAACGGAGAAATTACATTCATATAGTGCCTTTCACATCCCAAGGTGCTGATGGGAAAACCTGCTACAGGCTTTAGTGAAATCAAATGAAATCTTAAAAATATCTAATAGTATCAACACTGAAAGGTGGTGATGGTTGGGGATGTGGAGTCCTGTAGCTCAGTGGTTAGAGCACTCGCTTTGCAAGTGAGAGACCTGAGTTCAATTCCAGGCAGGGCGAAACCTTGGGCAAGTTTCCTTACTCCACACGCCTAATAATAATCCCTCCAAAAAACCAAAAACAATAATTAAATTGGTCATTTTCAATCTACGACTGTTTGTGGGACATTGCTGTGCGCAATTGGCTGCCGCGTTCGCCCACAAATATACAGTCAATTCACTTTACAGTGTGTTCTGTGAAGCGCTTTGGGACGTCCTCCTGACGTGAAAAGCGCTATATCAAATGCAAGGATTATTATTATTATTATTATGTGGGGATGGGTGGTGGTTTCTGATGCCATGCAGGTCTGGAACTTAGAGAAGTAGACCAGTCACTGGTATGAGTTTTTAGCGATATCAATGGCAAGCTATGCAGGTTTAGCTGGTTAGATTCCAACAGTATACCAACACACTCTGGGGCCCCCCAGCCTTGGCTCTTGCCAACCTGTGCCTAATACTTTCTGGAATTAGGTAAGCAGGATGCATCCCTCCAGAGAGAGTGTCCATTCCATTCCAACAATCTATCTCTGGGATTTCCATGTGCAGGTGGGATGCATGGAAATCTTAGTTTGGTTTGGATACTCTTAAGCATTGTGATGGGTTTCCGCATGTGTCAGACACAACTGACCAAACAAAAGCTGAAATGATGACTCACATGTTTTGCTAGTCCAATTTATGGCCGTATTGATCACTGTCTTTGTGTTACAGTGTTGTAGCACATAACAGCCCAACTCTATACAAATTGGGGCTCTAATGCACAACAATTGCCCACTAACACTGCTCACTGGCAGAAACTCCTCTTTGACTCAATCTATTTTTGGAGTAGAGTTCCCCCCCAGTCTGCAAATGTGTATTGCGTTACTAGAATATCAGAAGCCTGTGGATTCAAGACCACGTTGGTATTTTGAATTTACATTCCAGGCTGATACTGAAATATAATGCTGAGTGAGCATTCCATTGTTGGAGGAGCCGTCCTTCAGATGAGACATGAAATTGATGTCCATCTCTCTGTTCAGGTGGATGTTAATGATCCCGTGGCACTATTCAAAAAGAGAATGGAGTTTCTGCCAGTGTACTGGCCAAGATTCTCCCAGATAAAATTGGTCATTTACATCATGATAATTTGTGCACAAACTGGATGCTGTGTTTGCCTACAAAGTGTACAGTTACTACCCTATACAGAATATACGGTGAAGCACTTTAAGATGTCCTCCTGACATGAAAGGCACTGTATCAAATGCAAGGATTATTTATTCTTCTTGTTATCAGAATGAATCCTCCTTTGAGACTCAGAAGTTCAAATGAAGGAATCCCATTTAAAATTCCTACGTTTTAGACTTCATTATTCTCTGGTACATGTAAGATTTCCTAAATTTCGCCAAACCTTTTCAAACTGAATGCAAAAATGTCTTTGCAGACAGTATGTGTATTAGTCTTATATGGGAGTGATACATTTCAGAAATCATTTGCATTTTTAATAATTGATTACATTCTCTTACATTCAGTGTTTTGCTCTTTTTTCCCTTGAGGATATTAACATATTTGTGCTTCAGCAATATTCTGGTGCTAGCGTCTTTCTTTAATGCTTTATAGGAGCAACTGTACTCTTATAATTGTGGAAAACCACCATATGAACAGATTATCAAATCAACCAGAAGACGTCCAATTATGTTTGCGAATGGATTTCTTTATTTGACTCATCAGTCTGTAAAGGTTTCATGCATAAGTTGCCTGCAGAGCAAGTCATTACACTTCAAAGTAACTTATTGCCTATAGCTTTGAGACATTTGGACATGATAAGGTGCACTATCAAATGAAACCATTATTTTTTACATTGCTTATATATATTAATGAGGGAAATTTTGACCTTGCAGGAGGAGATCAACCAGAAATATATTCATCAGGAGAAACAAAGAGAATGGTTGAAGTTTAAGGTAAATGCACATTTCTTATTCTGGGTTTATATACAGGTATACTTCCTGAGTAGGATAAGATATTTTCCAACCTATACTGTATATAGATTTAGTAATTGTGGAGGACTGGAATAGAACAATCTGGCCATTAAATAAAAATAAATCTTTCATTCCTTCCTTGCACCTTACTGCCTTCCTCTGTTCATTCTTACCTTTGTTTCTTCCTCAGTCTTTCCTGCTTCCCTTGCTTCCTCCTCTTTCCTCTCTTCCTATCATCCCCTTATCTTTCCTTCCTCTCTTCCTAACTCCCTGTTATTCTCCCCCATCCTTCCTTTTCTTTCTTTCCTCTTCTTTTTTGTATCTCGGAGATTGTAAAAATATTTTAATGATGTGACTAGGTAAGACCTGCTGGTTATCCGGACCTCATTAATTTAGTAGCATCTCGGTGAGCATAGAAACACAGATGTTGTAGGAGGAACCACTGCCCCTGAAACATGACCCTGTTTGTTTCCATAACAGCAATTTGTATGACAAACCTGGATGCAAATCACTTTCTCCAAGAGACTTGCATTCCTTAAAGTGCTCCCATTCTGTTAGTGGTTCTGGCTTATATATTTTTTCTATTTGTCATTTTTATAGATTTTTCCTTTAAACTTTTTATCATTCGGAGTTGATCTTACAAGCTTCCTGGACTTTAATCTGACAAATTACTCTCTTGCAGGGAGATTTTGCATGAAATACTGTAACAACAACAACAACTTGTATTTATATCGCGCCCTTCACGCGGGGTAGAGTCCAGGAGTGCTTGTACTCCCTAATCCACCAAGTAATCAAGCAAGGTTTCAGAATATAGGCCGACCCTGTTGGAAAGCATCTTGCTAGAGCATGCATTTACTTATACTTCACGTGTGGACACACAGTTACTGGTAGTTTGTAACACTTGCAGCTTCCTGCGTTGTCTGGCCACCGTCTTGTGCATTTACAAGTGTTTTGAGCACTAGAGCAGGTCAGTTTGCACCAGAAACTGGAATCCCCCAGTGCCTTCGCCTTGCTGCCTCCCTTTCCTCCTTCAAGACCGGTCTCAAGACCTTTCTTTTTGACCGTGCCTTCGGCTCCCCTCTCGACTCTCTACCCACTCCTCGCTCCCTCCCTTCCCTCCCCTCACCCTGACTATTTCCCCCCTCCTCGCTCCCTCCCTTCACTCCCCTCACCCTGACCATTTCCCCCCTGCTTGGGTCCTGACCCAACTGTACAGCGCCTTGGGACGTCCTCCCGATGTGAAAGACGCTCTATAAATGGAATCTTGTTGTTGTTGTTGTTGTACATACCCTCGCTCGCCTCCACTGGCTTCCCATCCCCCGGAGGATCAAATTCAAGATCCTCATCCTCACCTACAAGGCCATTCACGGCCTTGCTCCCTCCTACCTCTCTGACCTACTATCCCCCTTCCTACCTGCCCGTACCCTCCGTTCCTCTGGCTCCGGTCTGCTCCACATCCCCCGCCCCAACCGCCCTTCCATCGGTGGCCGGGCCTTCAGCCTCTCAGCCCCGAGGCTCTGGAACTCCATCCCCCAGTGCCTTCGCCGCCTCCTCCCTTTCCTCCTTCAAGGCCGGTCTCAAGACCTTTCTCTTCGACCGTGCCTTCAGCTCCCCTCTCGACTCTCTACCCCCTCCTCGCTCCCTCCCCCTGACCATTTCCCCACTGCTCGGGTCTCGACCCAACTGTCCAGCGCCTTGGGACGTCCTCCCGACATGAAAGGCGCTCTATAAATGGAATCTTGTTGTTGTTGTTATTGTATTTGGGTATCCAGATGGGCTTGGAAGTACTGTCTGGTTTTATCTCCTCATGAGTAAAATTCAGCCAACCATTTCCAAGCACAAGGTGGTACAAATAGCATCCATAGACAATGAGTAAATGATACTAGGGAATGTAGCTGTAACAATTATTATCATAATGGTTGCAATTATAACCTTGGTCAAAATAGTTGACAGCTGCTCATTAGGAAAATGAGCTGAATATGAAGGTCTGCTTCATTAACTGCATTTTGGAGCCTGCATATTAGTCAAATAGATACAAAAGAAAGACGCCTCTTATCAAGGGATGAACAGTATCACTGCAGTGTTTCTTATTAAACGTTTGAGAATCACAGTAGCCATTGAATTCTGAGGAGAGTAAATGAGACAGAAAACTCAAGTGTAAGTAAAACTCAATGTCCAGTGTGGCTTTTACACAAATAACAACAAAATAGTCCGTTCACTTGATATAACATCTCATCACATCATCACGGTGTCTCAATGAGCTTTACAGAATTTACTGTAGCGTGTAATGAATGTTTTTAGCAAACTGACAATACTGTGCACAATTGGCTGCCGCGTTTTGCCCACAAAATCCATTTTACTATATATTCTGTGAAGCACTTTGAAACATCTCAATGATGTGGTAAGGCTCTATATCAAATGCAAGGATTATATTATTATTAATTTGCGCACAGAATTGTTCCACAAATAGTCATGAAATGAATGACGAATTGTACCTGGACAATTGTTGGCTAGGACACTAGGAGATCACTCCCTTTTCTTTTTGAATAGTGCCATTAGATCTCTAACATCCATTTGAACAGGCAGATGGGACCTTAGTTTAATATTTCATTCCAAGGATGGCACCTCCAATAATGCAACAATCTTCAGCTTTGCTTTGGAATGTCAACAGGGTCCAAGACTATGAGGAGAAATCTCAACATGGAGCTTTAACTCACAGAGCAGCGAGAGTGCAACCAACTAATTCAGGCTGACACCATATTATGCATCCGGAAGCTTGAAAAGCCATTTTGCACATGCATGAAAGTGTGATGTGATCACAGAATTAGCATGATGATGTCAGTCGCTCTCGCATTGTCTAGAACTTTTCCAAATAATTTTTTGTAATCTCTGCTATGCACATAATGCAGGCAGGACCAGGAATGCCTTTTTGCAGAACACCATCTTCCAAATTAATACTGAATTGAACGATTTTCTAAAATTCTGGTGAACATAAACAAAGGTCTTAGGGCTAAGGCCGTGAGAGATTTTGGCCTTTGTTATCCACTAACTGCTACCCAAAATGCACATATGTATATATCATTTGAGAGGAGGTTTAGGCTCAGATATAATTTACTGGGTGGTTGTATAGTATTGGGTCACTGGACATCCAGTTATGTACAAAAGGTTTGAGCACACAGCATTGGCTTTAGGAAACCTGGCCTGAATTCTTCAAGGTCTTACATCCATTGCCTTAAAATATAAGATTGTGTAGAAGTTTGGAAAATTATTTAATTGCCTGGTAGTCTTTTTTTAAAAAAAACTAAAATGTAAATTGGGAAACTGACTCCCAAATTAAGAATTAATTAAGGACTTTCCAAAATTTGCATAAACTTACATTTTAAGTCAATGGTTTTAATCCTAAAACCATGAGATGACCTAAGGGCATAAAGCTAGGCTAAAACTATCATAGGAAAAATGTGGTACACAAGAGAGCAAGACTGGACTGCAGCATTAGCTATAAGCCGGACAACTGTTGTAATGTTAAAATGGATAAGATATTTTTTACATTTGGTGCTGATACTTCACAAAAATAATTTAAAAATGTGAATAGCAGCTGTCAGATTTATATTGAATTTTGATTCAGAAATCCTGTATTGCAGCCTTGCTCATATCCTGAAACTGTGCAGCATGTGTCGTTTGAAACCTAAACCAGATCCAAAATAGCTGTGCATAGAGAAATCACATTGCTTTAAATTTAACAAATTGAGATTGTGAAATAGCTCCACTGTTCATATCCCATTATAGGCAATGCAAATAGAAGCTTTTATATTGAAGGATTTTAATCCTCTCTTGCACAAGTTCTCTTATTTTGTCATCTTCTTAGCCTTTTGGACAACCCTCAAAATGCCTTTTCTCCCCAAAGTTTTGGAATACATCATTGTCCCTGAATTATGATCCCAAACTCCCTATTTTAGATCTTCCAAGCTAATTTGCAACCCACCCACAACACCAAGTGAACTCTGATTAAAGTTATATACAATAGAGCTAGAGCCTGGATCTGCCTGTGTCTTCTTTGTCCTCAGTGTCACTTTTGATATTTGACCCATCCTTTCCTCCTTCATCGTCTGTTCTCTGACGACCGACCTCAGTAATACTGAACTTTCTTGGGTCCAACTCCTGCCTGCTGTTCCTCTTCCAAATAAATGCAACCAAGTCAAATTCAGGATTAACTGCTGCTCTTCCAGAGAATGAATTCCTGCAGTATTAACACCTCTATTCCAATTCCCCCACCCTCCCCCCGTCCTCTACCCCATTTTCTCCTGTTTTCCTTGCCCTGCCTCCCCCTTCACTGTTAGTCCTTAAAAGCTTCTCCCTCCCAAAATGCCAGTTCTGATGAAGAGTCGTGGGCCCAAAAGGTTGACTCACTTTCCTTTCTCCATAGATGCTGATTGTTCCTGCTGATTGTTCCCAGCGACTTCTGTTTTTGTTTTCAGATTTCCAGCATCTGCAGTAATTTGCGTTATGTTCAAATCAAATCCATTCCACCCTCAACCCTTAAATAATTCAGTTACGCTCTGTTGAATTGATCAAAATATTTTTAAAAATGTATATTCTAAGTATTTTCAGATTTTGATTATTTGATTATTTTTTAAAAAATGTAGAAATGGTCTGAAAAATGAACAGGAAAAACCAATAGTAGTGAATAGCTTTGCACTAAAACGAATAGAAAGGGAACTGAGTCAAAAATAAACCCTGCCCAGACCCAATGTGTTTGATTCAATTTGATGAATCACAATTAAATTTAACATATTTTGTTTCTGGACTTTAGGTTGGGAACAACCAATTATTTCTTGAATTCATCAATAATGTCACACTGTTCACAAGCATCTTAACAGGGCCAGCCCAGCCTACAGGGCAGAGGCTGGCTATTTTGAGAAGAGCTGCTCACCTCCTAACTCCTCAATGTTGTGACTCAGATGTGTGAATGTTACCAAACTAAGCCAGGCTGACACCTGCTTGCAGCCTATCTTGGATTTCAAGATTTCAAGAGATTTGGATGAAGTGCCCAGGGCTCAACTACCCTTCTTGGTAACTCATGTCTACCATCTGTGTAAAGAAATACTTCATGATGTATGTCCTATAATTCCTCTTCAGAACTCTAAATCGGTGCCCTTTTGTCTTGCTGCCTTTGCATATCTGAAAGTATTGTTCTGGGTTTATTTTCTCTATCTCATATATTAATATCTTATTGTGTTTTCTTTGAAATGTGTTTGGAGCCTCAGATGGGTGATGTGGTTCAGAAGGTTGTAAGTCCCAGACACTTGTAATAAACCAACAAGGAACAGTGAATTGATTTTTCTTGAACAGTTGATTATTGTTTTGTTATTTAATTTATTTATGTATGTATCAGTAGTATATACCAGTTCTTTAACAAAGAATAATTGCCATTTAAGACAAAAGCAGTCCTGTATAGTGGTGAGAGAATACTCCGGAGACAAATTACTGTTCTCAAATTGCATTTGAATTTCCATTTTCTTTTTCTCCACTTCAGGAAAAAGTAATACAGGAAACCCTGTTATACAACGGAATATTTCCTGGCTTTGGAAAATGGAACCATCACTTGATTAAGAAAAAAATCACTCCAAAAAAGAAATGCCTCCACACTCCACAATGACACCACATTACAAAGGTTGGAGGGGCAGGGTGGATACAAAGTCATTTGATTGTCATTCAACACTTTGAATTCACCAAAAAAGGCTTTCTTCTTATAGAATAGAAAGCTACATTAATATTACTTGTATCTCTCTCCAACCATTTCCTTTGCCATGGCCTCCCTCCCACAACCTCAGTTGATTCGTGTTCTAACGATGGTAGAATACGTGACTTTTCATGATCATCTCTCTTTACCGCTCTATAATACCAAGTGCAAGTCAGAAAATCTGCGCTCAATTACAAGTGGTTTCTAATGATCCTCTTCGCTTTGGGAGTGTGGGTGGGGGAGAAGAATAAACTTTGAGATAAGAGAATCATACCAGTGAATGAAAGACATTCTGAAAAACATTACAGTAATTAAAGTTGTATTTTTTATACAGCAATTAAAGCAATTATGATGATCAAGGCTTTGGCCTGTCCGTATTGATTCCTTAGTTGATATTTCACTCAGAATTTAACTCCTCATTCAGCTTTTCTGCCACTTTGATTTCAATAACATTTTATATTGGATTTAAAAAAAAAGCAGTTTTCATAATGTCAGGATGTGGATAATGTCCATTGAGTGTTTATCGTGAGTAATCAAGTGGTTTCAAAAGTGGTTATCAATTTATCATCTGCTAGCTGTACCCCACTGCAGCTTCGCTTGCAGCCAAAAGATCCAATATGGAATGTAAATTGACACACAGACAGACGCACAGACAGACATTTCATTTAGCTGGGACTCAGCTGGGAGGACTTCTGTGGGAATGCTCCTTTGGGAGGACTCAGTGGAAGGATTCCTTTAATATATTTTCTCTCTCAGTCTCTCAATCTCTCTCTCCCAGTCTCTCGCTCTCTCTCTCTCTCTCTCAGTCTCTCTCTAAGTCTGTCTCTCTCTCAGTCTTTTTCTTCTCTCCCACAAGACAATAACAACAAAATTTCATTTGTAAAGCTCTTTTCACGTCAAGAGAATGTCCCAAGGTGCTGAACAGTCGAGGATCAGGACCTGACTCTCACATAGTCAGGACCTGAAAACACAGTCACTACACTTTATAATGTATTCTCTCTCCCTGTCTCTCTCAGTCTCTCTCACTATCTCAATCTCTCTCTTTCTTTCACACACACACAGTTTCTCTCTCTGTCTCTCTCGGTCTCACTCACTATCTCATTCTCTCTCACAATCTCTCTCGCTCAGTCTCTCTTTCTCCTTCTCAGTTCTCTCACTATCTCAGTCTCTCTCCCTCCAGTCTCACTCTAGTTCCCATGACAACCAGAAAAAGTGCCATTTATTTGTTGCAGAATATAGACGTATCACTTTGAATGGTGCCTTCCTCTGTCGTTACATAGTTACAGAATAAGATACATGCTTCATATTTTGGGGCTTAATTAAAGCATGTTTTAATATAGCTCATCAACAATAGGAGATCCCTCCCCAAAAAAATGCCAGCTGCAAGATCTTTTCGATGAGGTATAAATCATGTCTCTACGTCAATTGGTTATTGCGCGATTGTCGGATACACTGACACACAGACAGACACTTCATCTTTATTAGTATAGATTAATACTTCCATCAAATGTCATAATATTAACATATAACATAGCATTTACCTTTATTATTTCACAGCAGTGCCAATGAGTTTCATTTAATAATTACTTCAGGCGCCTATACTTTCTGGAATTAGGTAAACAGGATGTGTTCCTCCAGGGAGAGAGAGTGCATTCCATTCCAACAATTTATCTCTGGGATTTCCATGTGTAGGTGGGATACATGGAATTCTCAGTTTGGTTTGGATACTCTTAAGTATGGTGATGGGTTTCTGCATGTGTCAGACACCCGGCTGACAAAAAAAATGACCTCAGGGTCAGGAGGGCACATTGCTTAAAAGACATTCTTCTGGTATTATAATTTGCCTTCTTATTAACTTCAGTAGCAATGCTGAGGGTCAGGATATGCTACTGGACTTTGGAAGGGAGTGAGTTCCTCTCAATTCCCATAGGAAAAAGCCGACAGATTCTGGTACGCACAAAATCTTTGACTATTTCCCTTTCATCATAAGATAAGAGTGTATGGAGTCCTGTAGCTCAGTGGTTAGAGCACTTGCCTCGCAAGCGAGAGACCTGAGTTCAATTCCCGGCAGGGTGAAACCTTGGGCAAATTTCTTTACTCCACACGGCTGATAATAATCCCTCAAGAAAAAACACCAATAATAAAATAAGTCATTTTAATCCACCACTGTTTGTGGGACACTGCTGTGCGCTATTGGCTGCTGCGTTTCGCCCACAAATATACTGTCAATTCACTTTACAGTATTCTAGAAGATGTGAAAAGTGCTATATCAAATGCAATGATTATTATTATTATGTACTATTGCTGTACTTCTAAATCTGATGGGTTTCAAAGTGGTTTTGAACGTGGTGGTAAAACATGCAGAAGAAATCAATTGAAATTTACAATATTTTATAAAGTTTCGAAACCTTATGATATTCTACTTTCTTTCAATGGTACAATATTACAAAAAGTCTTTTATAGAAATTCATAGTGGGGCTAATGCATTATTTCCTTTTTCCTGAGAAGCAAGAATATGAGCATTCTCTTCCGTTTGATAAATGAATGAGTATCTCTCACATATGGCCCCAATTTTGAAAGTTACTTTGTGTTCATGTGCTTTGTGGAATATGCTATTACAGAATTGCACTATTTCCACCAAATAAAGAAATGTACCAGAATGACACTGTTGTATCAGTGTGGTTTATTTGTTAGCACTTTCATCTCCGGATCAGAAGGTTGTCGGTTCAACCTCGATATTGAAATTTGAGTTTAGAAGTAGGCTGATATTTCAGTGCAGTACTGGGGGTGCACTATATTGACAGAGGTGCTGTCCTTAAATTGAGCTGTTAAACTGGGGTCCCATCTGCCTGCTCACTTTAAACGTTGTATGACACTGTTTGCAAACAGAAGAGTGTTTCATCTCGTGTTCTGGCCAAACATCCTCCATATTGATTGTTTATTGAAATTCTGATTAGTTTGCTCTATCTTTTCATTTGGAAACAACAATCCACTGGTAACTGGGTTGATTAAAATAATCTAACGCATGGCAGTGTATTTGTTTGGTGCCTTAATTTAAATGGAATGAATCACTTGTACGAAGTATGACATTAATCTGGGTTCAGTTTGTGGAGTGGGTTGACGCTGCTTATTGCATAATCTTTAGCACTGATTTTAACAATGGGACTGGTACCGTACAAAGACTCACCATCAATTCAAGACATTTCCTATTTAAAAAACATTGTATTAACTTTTTCTGACACTCTTTTAAGCCGTGCTTACTCACCAATTTATTGCTCCATCGTTACAAATGTAGTGCTGGGTAGTAGGCCAAAAGACATGTCTGTAGGATACTTATACTTTTCTACTCCATATAGCAGATTGCCAGTATATTACCACAATTAATGTGCCTCAGTAAAGGAGATGTGACAGTGGTAGGGAGACAGATGTATACTAATTTCACAGGAATGAGATGTATTTTCTTATCAACTGTGTGTCCAATAATATTACCTTATTCAGAACCAAAATATCGAATGCATAAATAAACCGATTGCTTTCATAACAACGTTCAACAACAACAACAACAAAATTACATTTGTATAGCGCCTTTCACGTCAGGAGGACATCCCAAGGTGCTGGACAGACAGAGTTTCAGACCCGAGCTGAGGTTCAGGGTGGGGGAGGGGAGTGGGCAGGGGGGGAAGCTGTGAGATCAAAAGCACGGTTGAAGAAGAGGGTCTTAAGGTGGTTCTTGAAGGTGGTGAGGGAGGGTTGAGATGGAGGGACTGTGGGATGGAGTTCCAGAGGGTGAGTGCAGAGTGGTGGAAGGCCCACCCGCCGATAATGGGGCGAGCAAGGCGGGGGACTGGCCAGAAGCTGGCCAGAGCCCGTTGAGTGGAGGGAGCGAACAGGATGGTAAGGGGTTAGGAGGTCGGAGAGGTAGGGGGGAGCAAGACCATGGATGGCTTTGAAGGTTAGGACCAGGATCTTGAACTGTATCCTCTGTGTGATGGGAAGCCAGGGGATTTGGGCAAGGATGGGGATGATAAGGTCGTGGAGCCTAGTGTAGGAGAGGGCAAGGGCAATGGATGATCTGCAGCCTGTGGCGGGAGGAGTTGGGGAGGCCGACAAGCAGTGAGATTATATAGTCGAGCCTCGATGTAATGAAAGCGTGTATGAGGGTTTTTCTGCGGCCTTTGGTGTTCAATATAAGTTTCAATACAAGTTTAAGTAGCATACCATTAAAATTAATTGATTGGTTTCAGCTGATTTGTGTGATGGATAAAGATTTAACTGTAGTGCATTCCTTTGAGTGGTTACTCTCCATTTGTTCAAGGCTGGAAACAGAAGGAACTTCTTAAATGAAGTGATTAGCGATAAAATGTACTGACTTGAGAGGCTGCATGAAAAGAAGACAATAACTTCAACTTTAAAGTAACTACTTGAAAAGAAAATGCTTACTACATTACTGTCAATAACTTGCTTGAATGAGCAGAATAGAATTGAGTCAGCAGTGAATGAAGCAGAGAATTTCCTGACCAGCAGTAGTTAAACCTAACATAATTGATCAACTGTGGTCAGGAGGAAAAAAGTAGCTGGTTACCCTCAATTCAGCCCAAAAAAGCAATCAAGAGCTAGGGCATTACAAAAATAATGCAAGAAAATCTGCAGTAAAACTAATACATAGCACAAGGTTTCTCAATCACTTTAATGGATGAAAATTGTGACCTGTAATATGATGACTCACATCAGTGTCAATTACCATATTGTTCAAAAAAATATCCATAACTAAATTCTTCAGCAGGTACCACTATCCTGTGACCTTATGACTGTCGCAAAATATTTGTCTGAAGCTAGCCTGTGGAGCACAGTGAGTTAAAAGAAGGGGTAACACTGGAATGCTTTTAGGGAAATACTAGGTGTAGCTGAAGGAAAATTCAGTTAGCCCAACCTGCATTTTTAGACCTCACTGGCACTTACGTCAACCTCAAATGAATATTCCTTACTTCACAGTTTCCATTTCCTACATTTAGCCTTCCTTCTATTCTCCAGCTGAAAATGCCATCAGTGCTAAACTTTCGTCAGTTTTATACCATGGAGTCCCTTTTTAAAAAATTGGGTTGAGAGCATCAAAATTCAATTAATTTATTGATATCCGCATGCAGACTGCCACATTTACCTTAAAAATGCAGTCACTACCCTTTACAGTAAATCCTGTGAAGCAGTTTGAGACATCCTCCTAATGTGAAAGGCGCTATATTAGATGCAACAGATAATTTGGGAACCTTATAAAAGGTTGAATTAAAAGTTCTAATTGGCTAAACGTCCTTCTACTAATTTAAGAATATAAAAAAGTATAGGAGAAGCAATGAAATCCCTG